AGAGAGAGAGAGAGAGAGAGAGAGAGAGATGTGGTTATGGGAAGAACAGTTTATAAGTAGTGGTTTACTTCATTCAGAAAGCAGCTGTTTGGTGATGTTATTGCCTAGCCATTAGGTGATTGGGTAAAGTTAAACTTTTAAAGATTGAGAACTTTTTCCAAAATAAGTGGAGAAAATATAAGAGGTCTTTTACACAATCGCTGAAGACAAATGGGTGCATAAGCAAATGTGGTGAAGAAAGCTAATGGTGCCCGGCTATCAAAAGATATAGCGTCTGGGTGTTAAAGTCTTGAAGATAAACAAGCAGCCATCTAGCTGAGAAGCAACAAAGCCCACATGACAGAAGCACACCAGCCTGTGTGACCACAAGATGTCCATAGGATCGGGTATCAGGCATCAAAGAACAAAAAAATCATATCATTGTGAATGAGGGGAGGGTGCAAACTGGAGACCCAAATCCCGTCTGTAGGCAACTGAACATCCCCTTACAGAAGGGTCGCGGGGAGGAGATGAGCCAGTCAGGGTGCAGTGTAGCACTGATGAAGGATACAACTTTCTTCTAGTTCCTTAATGCTCCCCTCCCTCACCCCACCCACCCACCCACCCCCGGCCAAATCTTGAGCCCAATTCTACCTTACAAATCCAGCTAGACCAGAGGATGTACACTGGTACAGATTGGAGCTGGAAACAGGGAATCCAGGACAGATAAAGCCCTCAGGACCAATACTGAGAGTAGCAGTACCAGGAGGGGAAGGGGAAGGTGGGGGAGGAAGGTGGAACATATCACAGTGATCTACTATAACCCCCTCCCAAGGGGATGGAAAACAGAAAAGTGGGTGAAGGGAGACATCAGGTCAGTATAAGACATGAAATAATAATGATTTATAAATTATCAAAGGTTCCAGAGGGAGGGAGGGGGAAAATGAGGAGCTGATACTAAGGGCTCAAGTAGAAAGCAAATGTTTTGAGAATGATGATGGCAACAAATGAACAAATGTGCTTGACACAATGGATGTATGTATGGATTGTGATAAGAGTTGTACGAGCCCCCAATAAAATGATTTATAAAAAAAGAAAAAAAGGATTGCAGACTAGGAAGCCATTTTAGGACAAGTTCTATTCTGTGACAGGCACTATGAGTCAGAAATTATCACCACAGCCCCATAAAAATAACACAATGTATGATAATGTGGAGATTAGTAGATTAATATATGTAAAAAGGTTAGAGTAGCACCTGGTACACAGTATTAGATGTCATCATCATTATATATTACCACTGCTATACCACTGTCATCATCACTGATGGTCTGTAAATATAATAAAAGTGATGAGAGAATTTTTATAAGCATCACAGCCACTTACAGTGAAATTTGAATCATTTTCAGTTTTTCCCCCACTTTTATCTCTATGTTCACTCAGTCACTTGGAATGTTCTGATTGCTTTTATATTGTGACTCAATGCTATCAGACAGAGCATTATAAAGTCCATGATTAAAGGTGTAGTTCGGTTAAAATGTAATACCTTATCACTTGATCTCCCTTTTGACCCATTGTAAAGTTGTTTGAGTTTTTAATATTTTCTGCTTTCTTTTTGACTGAGTTTTTCTGTTTTGTCTAATCATTGTTGTTGTTTTTTGTACCTGTGTTTGTTTGCCTCCCGTTTGTATTTTGTATGATTTCCTATCTATGAAATCCAGGATATGGTAGGTAGATCAATAAAGACAGTAACTGGATTGTTAATTGCCTAGGGACATGGCAGGGGAGGAGGGGAGGAAATACGGAGTTAACAACAATGAGTACGATAGGAAATAGTTCTGAAGTTGATTGTGGTGATGATAGATCTTAATATGATTGAATGAATAAATTGTTTAATATGATTAAATTGTTTGATATATAAAATATATGCCAACAAAGCTTTTTTTTAAAAAGTACAATAGACATCAAAAGAATTTGTATGGCTCGTTTTCCATTCATATCCACCAATATAATTCTTTTTGACAAGACCTGCAGTAATTTAAAGTGGTAATCTTCCTCCCACTCATTTCTGTCCTCTCCGATCTCTCTTGCATGCTTTTTTTCCAAAGCAGTCTTTTCACTGAAGAATTTAAGCAAGACAAGCCATGCCTCTTTATTACCTAAATACCATGCATTGCAGACTGCAATTTAATGACCTTCATAATCTGATCCCATCTTACTTATCCAAATTTATTTCCCAGACACAACCTTTTTTGCCTACTTTTTAAAATCTGAAATCATTAAAACCTATGGCAGATCTTTTCGTCATTTTTTAAAATTAATTTTATTGTGGTGCTGGAAAAAAATGGATATCTACCTGCAGGAAAATGAAGCAAGACACTTACCTCACTCCATGCATAAGAATAAACTCAAGGTGGATCACAGACCTTGAGATAAAACCCCAAACAATTAGGGCCATTAATGAGGGAATTGGGACAGTCCTTGGCACAGGGAATGTATAGGCTATCAGAAATAGGGAAGGATACAAATACGGAGGAGTCACAAATAGACAAGTGGGCCATCCTGAAGATAAGACACCTGTGTACATCGAAAGAATTTCTCAAAAGATAGTGGATAATCGTGAAGACTTATTAGGAAGAATTTATAAGAAAAGTGATAACTATATTGATATGAAAATGGTGTCCAAGAATTGTTTTCCTGTCAGCAATTACCTGCTCATTTTTCCAGGGTAGCAAGGACTGTCCAAGAATTTTATTGGGAAATCTTACCCTATAGCCCTTTAGACTTGTTTGTGTTCCCCATGTTCAAAGAACATTGCAAAAGAACACAATCTGAGTCCCTCCAGAATACAACAATTGCCATTGTTACACTTACACTGAAGAGTGTGGAATTCTTAGGGGAAGAGTTAGAGATATGGGAACACTACCTTAAAAGTGTATAGACTTTAATGTGTCAAGAAACAATCGCTTATGTATGATACTTACCTTCCTGACACCATCACCAAAGATGGGTGCTAAGCAAATGTGAAGAAAGCTGATGGTGCCCAGCTACTAAAAGATACAGTGTCTGGGGTCTTAAACAAGTGACCATCTAGCAGGAAAGCAGCAAGCCCACATGAAAGAAGCACACCAGCCTTTGTGATCATGAGGTGTTGATGAGAAAAGGTATGAGAAATTCAAAAACAAGCAACCAGATCGGAGTGAAGGGAACCTCATTAGTCATGTTAGATTTGCATAAGTTCATTTATATATTTAAGATTGAGAGTATGGGGAAAGTGGGGGGGGGGGAAAGGGAGAATAGGAGCTGAAAGCATTGATGACTGCATAACCCCACTTGATATGATCAAACAACAGAATTGTATGTGAATAGATATATGGGCAAGATATGGAAAGGAAAAAAATGTCCCTGGGTCGGGGAGTAGGGTTGAGCATGAGAAGGGGATACAGGGGAGCTGATGTCAAGGAGTTCAAGAAGAAAGAAAATGTTTTGAAACTGATTGTGGTAGGAATTGTATAATACTGCTTGAGGTGATAGAACTGTGGAATGTTGTGATATCTGTGAGAGTTCCCAATAAAAGGGATTTAAAAACAAAAAGAAAATATTTTTATATTTTTGGTTAATAAAAGTTTATAATGTTTTGTAGCAATACTTTCTGATTTACCTTCATCCTTTGTTTCTATCTTCCTCCTAATCTGGAAACTTCTCATCTTTTAAATGTCTGCTTTTGCCTTTTCCAGAATGTTTTTTGTTGGAAATGATAGTGTGTAGCTTTTTCAGGCTGGATTCTTTCACATTACAAAGACGAGAGAGAGAGCGTGCACGCACGCTTGGAGTAAGTCTTGAAATCAAAGTCCTCTCGCTCATCTTGAGTATCATATTGACTTTTCTGTCTTTTGCCATTCTATATAAACTGTTCGTTTATATCCACAAAATGTTTTGATTGTGTTGAACTTATAAATTAGAAGGAACTGACACCTTAAAAATATTGAGTCTTATTCATTAACTCACCACCTGTCTGTCAGTTTGCCGTACTGTGGTGGCTTGCGTGTTGCTATGATGCTGGAAGCTAGGCCACCGGTATTTTCACCCATGGTGGACAGGTTCTAGTTGAGTTTCCAGACTGAGACAGACTAGGAAGAGAGGCCTGGCAATCTACTTCTGAAAATTAGCCAATATAATCATTAAGGATCACTGTGGAATATTGCCCAGTATGGTGCTGCAAGATGAGTCCCTCATGTTTAAATACACTATATAATAGCTGCAACCATGGATTCAGCTTTTTGAATAATTTGTTTGAAATACATACCAACTTCATGAACTTACTGTAGGACCAGGCATTATTTCTTATCTGTTATATGTAAGTTCATCAGGAATTGGAGCCAAGTCAGCAGCAACTAATAACACATACACATGAAATACCTCCCATTTATTTAGATCTTTGTTTCCTTTCAAGAGACTTTTGTAGTGTTGCTCTTCTAGACCATGTAACATTTTTTAGACATATCACAGAATATTTCAGCTTTTGTATCAATATAAATGGTGTTGGAATTTTTAATTTCCAATTCCAAAATTTATTGTTACCACTTTTCCTGAAGTTTTGCTGTAGGAAAATAAAATCAGAATTACTTATGGGGGGAAAAAGAATTATTTATTAAAATATTGAGCTTTTGAAACAGTTTTTTTTTTTTTTTTTTTCCATTTAAAAAGTTATATTCTACAGGAGGCAAGAAATACCAAGGTCAGCTAATGCTGCCTGGTAAGGTTTACTCCCTCCTAGGAGCTCCTAAATAAAATTCTCTTTTGATATTCTAATAAAGTTATATTCTTTATTATCATTATATTTTTACGATTTAATTCTACAGTTTAAAACCTCATTTTCCTCCCCATTTCTCCTAAGGGATAATGGGATTACAATGGGCAAAGCATCTCGGAAATGCTGTAAAGGTTACAATTAATGATTTGAATGAAAACTCAGTGACTCTGATTCAGGAAAACTGCCATTTAAACAAGTTGAAAGTAGTGGTGGACAATAAAGAAAAGGAGGAGCGTGATGCTGTTCTTGAAGAAGGGGAGGAGAACCTGGGCAATATCAAGGTGACCAAAATGGACGCCAATGTGCTGATGCATTTGAGAGCTTTTGATTTCATGTAAGTGAACAAGGTTTACTTTGCCACATTCTAAACTGAGCTACTTTAAAAAAAATAATTAAGCTAGTTTGTTGTTGTTTTTGTAGCTTATTTATTTAATAGTGATTTATTTATCCTGTTTCTTTCCATCTGCAGTTGTTAGTTTTTCCACTTTATGAAAAATTGAGGTGGGATTTAGATCAGAATTGCATTGAATTTGTATAGTAATTTTAGTAATCTTGATGTTTTCACAATATTTAATCTACCTATAGAAGAACATGGTAACTTATTCCATTTGTATAAGTTCCTTTCAGTTTCTTGAAGGAGCATTTTGTCGTTTTCTTTGTTTAAGTCTTGTTTCTCTAGTGAGATTTATTCCTAAATATTTACCTCTTGTGAAGTTATTATAAATGATACTGTTCTTTTAATATCTTTTTCTGTGGTATCATCCTTTAATATGAAAGAATTCAACTGGTTTCTTTATGTCAATCTTATTGCCTACCACACCACCAAATTCTTCAATTAGTTTAAGCAATTGTTTAATTGAATCTGGGGGATTTCTATACATAGGATTGTGTCATCTCCAAATAAAGAAATTTGTGCTTGTTCTGTGCCTGTGTGCATACCTTTAATTTCTTTTTGATATATTATGGCTTCAGCTAAAACTTCCAGAATTATATTAAATAAAAGTAGTGATAAAGGGCAACTTTGCCTAGTTCTCAATTGAAAAAGAAATTATTTCAATTTATCTTCACTCAGTGAGATGCAGGCTATTGATTTCACATATATGGCTTTTATTACAACAGAACCAAATGAGATAAAAAATATAATCACGTTGTTATGAAAAATTACCACCACCACCACCCCACTCCCCACTACCTAACAAATCAAGCTAGACCAGAGTATGTACACTGGTACAGATAAGAGCTGGAAAAACAGGGAATCCAGGACAGATAAACCCCTCAGGACCAATAATGAGAGTAGCGATACCAGGAGGGTAAGGGAAAATGAGGGGAGGGAGAACCGATCACAATGAATGATCTACACATAACCCGCTCCCTGGGGGGTGGACAGTAGAAAAGTGGGTGAAGAGAGACATCGGTCCAGTGTAAGACATAACAAAATAATAATAATTTATGAATTATCAAGGATTCGGGAGGGAGGGACTTAGGGGGGAAATGAGGAGCTGATACCAAGGGCTCAAGTAGAAAGAAAATGTTTTGAAAATGATGATGGCAACAAATGTACAAATGTGGTTGACATGATGGATGTATGGGATGGATGGATGGATGGATGGATGGATTGTGATAAAAGTTGAATGAGCCCCCAATAAAATGATTTTTTAAGAGAAAAAATATATTCCAACAAATTCAAAAATGGAGAAGAAATGGATACATTTCTAGAAATGCATATTTACTAAAATCACCACAGAATGATGTAGAAAAATCTCATCAAGCCTATAACACGAGACAAAATACTCATTTATAAACTATCAAGGGCTCATGAGGGAGGGCAGAGCCGGGAGGGTGGGGAAAAATGAGGTCCTAATGTCGGGGATTTAAGTGGAGAGAAAATGTTTTGAGAATGAAGTACAAATGCGCTTTACACAATTGATGTGTGTATGGATTGGGATAACAGTTGTATGAGCCCCTAATAAAATGTTAAAAATAAATTAATTAATTAATTAAAAAAAAAAAAGATCTAGACATTTGAAAGAAAAAAAAAAGCCTATAACACGAGAAGAAATAGATCTAGTCCTAAAAAACTCCAAACCCAGTGAATCTATGTATGTCTGACTTAACATGTGACCAACTTAGTACTTTAAAAACAAAATTTTTTTTCTAAAATAGGTTTGTCAAATAATTTTGAATCCACAGAATTTTATTATTGGTAATAAATATAGTAATATAGTTATTAATATCTATGTATTCTTTCTGATTCTAGACACCTAGACCCTTTTGGAACATCAGTGAACTATCTAGATTCTGCTTTCAGAAATATAAGAAATCTTGGCATAGTGTCAGTGACTTCTACAGATATCAGTTCTCTGTATGCCAAGGCACAGCATGTTGCCCGACGTCATTATGGCTGTAACATTGTCCGAACGGAGTATTATAAGGAACTAGCAGCCAGAATTGTTGTAGCTGCAGTGGCAAGGTACCATAGTGCTAACATGTACCACTTGTGTTTCGGTATATGATAAAAGAATATTGCCAGAAGAGCTTATCTCATTTTTCAGACAATGCTTAAGATACAATGCTTGTATTTATATCTATAATTTCAATTTCTTTGGAAATAATTGTGTTTTAACATTGAATTGTGTTTAAAAGCTACACCTAAAATGGTTTACTTTCCAATGTAAAATGTTACATAAAAATAAAGTATCAAGAAAGAAAAGATAAAACAGAAAATATCAGGCATTTCATTCCAGCAATGTAGGGTAGATATGAGATCACAAGAAAAGGAAAAGAAAACAATTGTTTTTTTTTATTTAGGACACGCACTTGTCCTTTTTCTATTTCATCTGTATTTTACCAAGTTTGGTTAAAATGATGGCCTATACACCTACTTGATTTTAGAAACTCATACTGCCCTAAGACAGAGTTTTCTGTTTCTCATCAAAACTTCTAAGCAATTGAAGATTCAAATAGACTTTTTTGAGCATTCATTATTTGTATAATATACTAAAAGATCAGAAGAACAATATGGCTCAATATTTTTTAAGGGTTTATGATCTAGTCTGAGCAGTCAGAAAATTTTGATATTTATGTGCAGGAACATCTAGACAGGTCGTTTTTTTCCTCAATGTTTTAATTTCGTTATAGTCCTAGAAACTTGTTTAGGCAACAGTAGAGACCAGTAAACACACATGAAATGTAAATGATGGATAATTAGTCAGCTCACTCACCAACCCCAACATTAGTTTTACATCATTGATATGAAATTCCTGCCTCAGCATAAGTGTAGACAATTAAACTTCCTAAACCTTCTGGATTGTTCTTAATTAATTGAAAATTCTTGTTAGGTGTTGTATTAGTCTGGGTGCTTTAGAGAAACAAATCCACAGAAACTCCTGTATGAGAGCATTTTATATAAAGGTTAAGTGTGCATCAAGAAAACATCGCAACCCAGTGCTGTCCAACTCCAAAAGTCCAACATTAACCCATATGTCCAACAACAATCCACAAAGTCCTCCTCCATCTCACAAAACAGACGCAATGATGCCAACTGCAGGAGGAAAGCCAAGTTAGTGAACATGTAAGCATCTCAGCACTGGTAGGGGTCTCCACACCGGTGCTCCAGCACTGAGGGCTGCACCAGGGTAGGTCCATGTGGCTTCTCTTAGGGGATGTCTTGCAGGAAAACAGCCTCGCAAACTGAAGCAGGGAACTGCTAAGGCAGCTACACCCTGGTACAACCATCACAAAGCAAGAGACCCGAGAACTAGAAAGGCAAGGCTCACCGAGCCATTTATCCCTCCGCCCTTCAATTAATCCCACATGTGTTTATCAGTAGGTTGACTCAATAAACTAACTAATTCAGGTGTGTACATACCAGGTATATACTATACAAAGTTTAAAATGTCTATAATGTAACATCAAATTCAAATTATATATATCGACTAAGTTTAGTGTATGAGTACAAAGAGAACACTACATAAGTGGGGGGTGGTGGAACTTAATCACAAAAGTTTGTAAAAATGATCTCAAGGTTTTTCTCCATTTATTAACTGAATAGTTCAGTAGCTACCTTACTTATGTTTAGTAGTCATTAAAAATATATCGTTTAGAAGAAAATTTCAAAGAAAAATTATTAAAAGGAAAATGATGATGGTGATGACAAACAAAGGGATGATGAGAACCAGAAACGTATTATTGAGAAGACTTCCCAAGGGCAGTGCTTAATTACTGAAGACTCTTCTTTGTTTCCTGTACTTCGATGTTTAAAAGTCACAGTAATAGTCTTTTCTCTTTTTTTGAGAGCACTAGTACTAAGCATTGAATTTTCTTTGGTTTTATTGTAGTTCACTCCAGATTGGTATTGTCAATATAATGCCAAACAAGGGATAACTATGTCCCCCAAAATAACTTTACAACTGTTTTTTACAGAGCTGCAGCCCGATGTAACAAAGGCATAGAAGTCCTGTTTGCAGTAGCTCTGGAACATTTTGTGTTAGTTGTCGTGAGAGTTTTGAGGGGACCTACCTCAGCCGATGAAACAGCCAAGAAGATTCAGTACCTTATCCATTGTCAGTGGTGTGAAGAGAGAATTTTCCAGAAGGATGGTAATATGGTAGAAGGTAATTTGAATTTCACTTGTTGTTTACTATATGCAGAAGCCTCTAATGAATAAGTGTTTCTCATATCCCTAATTATACATATTGCTGTCCTTTGATTTTGAGGATTACAGTGCTAACATTGTTATTTCCTATACTGGATTTCCTTTCATCAACAGACAAGACGTCCGTGTGAGTTTGCTAAAGTTATTCATTCATGCTATTCAATTTATGCTCTGTAGCCCTGCACTCTACTGAAACATCTAGAAATAACTTAGTTTCTACTGTCACTAATTTTTGGAAGATAAGTCAAATGACCTATTTATCTAAGCTGTTCCAGTCCTTGAATTTTACTTTATAAAAATTATTTTCGTACTTCTGGATGAATATAAAATCTATCAGTTATAAGGTTCATTCAATAAACATTTATTGAGGCTCTACTATATGCCAGGCCTGAATATACAAAGAAAAGGATGTGGCTTATGTCTTCAAAAACTATTTTGTGTTGCTTGGAAATAAAAACACTCGTTTTTTATTAGGTTTCTAGAAATTTTTCAAAATAAATTTTCCAGGACTATATAAGAAAGTTTAGCCCCTCAGATGGTCCCTACAGGACCAGTGGTGTGAGTGACTATACTGGGAGGGTAGAGGGAAAGTGGGTTGGAAAGAGGGAACCGATTACAAGGAACTATATGTGACCTTCCTGGGGGACGGACAACAGAAAAGTGGGTGAAGGGAGATGTCGGACAGGGCAAGATATGACAAAATAACAATTTATAAATTATCAAGGCCTCATGAGGGAGGGGGGAGGGAGGGGGGAAATGAGGACCTAATGCCGGGGGCTTAAGTGGAGAGGAAATGTTTTGAGAATGATGAGGGCAGTGAATGTACAAATGCGCTTTATACAATTGATGTATGGATTGTGATAAGAGTTGTATGAGCTCCTAATAAAATGATTAGAGGAGAAAAAAAAGAAAGTTTAGCCCCTGTGATATTAACTCCAATGTTTTTGTTTTTTTTTTATATATTTGCATCTTTTTCTTTTTTACAATGTGGCCATGCACAATTTTTGTTGTAAGATTCATCAAACTTTTTCTTTCTTTAGGTATTTTGGGTTTTATCTGTTATCACTTCCTTAGTTTATGCAAAGTTTTCTCATGTTTTATTGAATGTATTTGTTTCTAGATTTTCTATTCTGTTTTAGTGGACAGTGTAATACCTACCTTATTTTCATAGATTGTTTTGATCATACAACTGTTTTGATGACAAAGGATTTTTAGTGTTGTTTAATAATTGTCTAGTAAGTCAATCCCTCCTGGAAACTTAGTTTGAAAAGCTTTCTTAGATTTATTTTACTAACCAGCTGCTATTTTATTTTGATGATCTTAAATTAGGAAGGATAGAAATTGTTGTGCTTTGAAGCTTTTCTATCTAAGGCCGTGGTATTTTTTCAAGTACTTACAGTACTTGACTGAAATTAATTGACAGTGGTAATAGAAAGTATTCTTGTCCTTTATTTCTGTTCTGTGGAGCACTTTTTGAAGGAGCCTGGGTAATACACTTGACTAAGCACCAGACTATTAACCAAGACTGGCAGTTAAAATCCACCAGCTGCTCCAAGCGAAAGAGATGAAGGACTCTTCTTCTGTAAAGAGTTACAGCCCTGGGAATGCCATGGAACAATTCTGCTCTGCACTACAGGGCCCATGGGACTTGGATTTGACACAAAGGCTGTGGGTTTGGATTTTTTAGCACTCTTTGATTTAAGACTTATACTGGCTTTTCATCTGAAACAACTATCATTGATCATGTTAAGGACCGAAAAATAGCCAAACTCACTGCCATCGAGTGAGCCTATAGGACAGACTAGAACTGCCCCTGTGAGTGTCTGAGACTAACTTTACAGCAATAGAATGTCTGGTCTTTCTCTCAGAATGGCTGGTAGTTTCAAACAGCGGACCACTACACCACCAGGGCTTCCTTCAAGTGAAAGTGAAGGGTGCTTCCTTCACTTTCACTTTGAAATGACTAGGTCGGTTTCCTTCTTAGACCTACTGATTTCATTAATTGTAATAAAATTTCCCAATATTCAACCATCTTAGACTTCTTTGAACACTCTCTATTTTGTCAGCAACTGTATTTTACTAAGTTATTGGATGCTATTAGCTAACTTTTAAAAGGACTTTGGTTTCAAGATTCATAAATAAGATAATGTGTAGTTTTAGTGTCTGGTATCAATGTTATATTCCCTTCCAAAAAAATTTGAAACTTCTTTTTCCAGTTGAGAACAGTTTGACTAGCACTAGATTTATTTATTTGTTTAGCAACTGTCGCCAACCTTTTCTAATTTATTTACTTGGAGTTGAGCCAAGTTATGCCTACTACTTCTTTTTAATGTCTGTGGTGTTTTCAGAGACAATATGTACCTTCAAATCTTAAGTCTTTGCAGGGTTCACCACCACCAGTAGGTTGGTATTTTGCTGATTTCCCCTTCACCCATTTTAAGCTTAATAGGCTTTTTCAGGTCTGTTACGTCAGTTTTCCTTCCGTGTATCTTATTTCACACCTCTAAAACTTTATTGATATTTCTCATCTGTTGATTACTACTACATTCATTTTATATATCATTCGAGGGTGATTTTTTTTATTAAATACTTTTATTGGGGGCTAATACATCTCTTATCACAATCCATACATTCTTCCAGTGTGTCAAGCACATTTGCACATATGCTGCCATCATCATTTTCAAAGCATTCTCTTCCCACTTGAGCCCCTGATAACAGCTCCCCACTTCTTCCCCTTCCCTCCCCTGCCCGCCCTCCCTCATGAACCCTTGACAAATTATAGATTATTTTTTTGGTATCTTACATCGTTCTCCATCACCCTCACCCACTTTTCCATTGTTCATCTCCGTGTGAGGGGGTTATAGGTTGATCCTTGTGATCTATTCCCCCTTTCTCGCCCACCCTCACCTAATCCTCCTGGTATCTCTAATCTCATTGTTGACCCTGAGGGGTTTATCTATCCTGGATTCTCTGTGTTCCAGGCTCTTATCTGTACCAGGGTGCATGTTCTAGTCTAATCCGATTTGTAAGGTAGAAATGAGGTCATGATAGTGGTGGGGGAAGGAAGCACCAAAGAAGTAGAGGAAAGTTGTGGCTTTCATTGGTGCTATACTGCACCCTGACTGGCTCATCTCTTCCCTGTAACCCTTCTATGAGGGGATGTCCAGTTGTCTACAGATGGACATTGGTTCTTCAACCCATGCGCGCCCTTCCCCCCATTCACCTTGGGTGTGATTTTGTTCTGGGTCTTAGATGCCTGATACCTGTTCCCATTGACACCTCATGATCACACAGGCTAGTATGTTTCTTCCCTGTGGGCTCTGTTGCTTCTGAGCTAGATGGCCGCTTGTTTATCTTCAGGCCTTTAAGACCCCAGACACTGTATCTTTTGATAGCCGGCACTATCAGCATTCTTCACCACATTTGCTTATGCACCCGCTTTTTCTTCAGCGATCATATAGGGAAAGTGAGCATCACAGAGTGCTGGATTGTTAGAACAAAGTGTTCTTGTGTTAAGGGGGTACTTGAGTTGAGGCCCAATGTCCATCTGCAACCTTAATTCTTAACATACAGATATGAGTACGTAGTTCTATTCCCCTCTCATTTTATATATATATTTACATGTGTACATGCCTGTATTTAGAGCTCTATAAATGTTCTTTGCCTCCTGGTTCTTTCCTCTATTTCCTTTAACTTTCCACTTACACCACCATCATGTTCAGCCTTCATTCCGGTTTAGTAAGTCCTCACTGCTACATTGCCCTTGATTAAGCCCCGCTAGGCATCCTACACCCTTCTCTTCATTGATTTTAGTTCACTTGTTCCCTTGTCTCTGGGTTGGTTCCCCACCCCCCTCCTTCCTTCCTTTCTCCCTGGAACCATTGTCCCATTCTTTTCATTTCTGAATTATTTATCCCGCCCATCTTACCTAGATAGATGCGGAGACATGTAAGCGTAAAGACCAGGCAAAGCTAAACAAAACAACAAAGGAAGTCAAGACCAACAAAGCTATAACAACAACTAAAAATCAAAACAAGAACAACCAAAAGAAAGCCACTGACAAAAATGGAAAGCCTATAAATAGTCCAAGGTCTGTTTGTTGGCCTTATCCCTTTCCTGAAACATTAGTTCTCCTCCTTTGCTGTAATTTTAATCAAGAGATAGCAGCAATAAAATGTGTGTTTAATCCATTGGATTTAATTGGAAGTCTTAGAATAATTTTTAATTCCTCATCAGGAACTGCTTCTTAGCCTACATTCTATGACATGGAAATACTAGTTTTCATTCTTTCTTAGTCGTTGTTAGTTGTCATATGAGACTTTTCACTTACTTAATTTTTGCTGCACCAAAACCAAAACCATTGTCATCGAGTCATTTCAACTCACAATAACCCTATAGGACAGAGTAGAACTGCCCAAGAGGTCTTCAAGGCTATAAATCTGTACAGATACCTCATCTTTCTCCCACAGAGAGGCTGGTGAGTTCAAACCGCCAACCCTTCAGTTAACAGCTAATGTGCTACCAGTAATTTGAAATGAAAGCCTTGGTCCTTCAGAGAGAGAATTTGTTAATGCTTACCTAGAACTGAAATATCCTAACAGAAAGGCCTAGGTAAAGATACATTTGTTTGATGGGAGCACTTTGCAATGTGCATCAAAATACAAACTGAATAATACATGTGCATGTGTGTGCTGCTTACCTTGGTTAAGTGGATATAACTGACAGAACCATCAAGTATCATAAATTGAATAATGACTGCATTTAAGTATTTTAATTCAGCTTCTAATGGTTCAAGGGAAGTCTTGAGTATACTCATCTATAATGATTGAGGAACAAAATCCTCAAAAAAAAACCTTCAACTTAACAGTTGGGTTCCATTCTGATTACTCTGTCTGTTCTGACTTAAGTTGAATGCTCTTTTTTTCTTCATTATTATTATTGCATTCGTTATTAGTATCTTTATAACCTTGATTTTGAACATCTGTAAGAGAGCATCTGCAGATGATAACATAAGCAAATGATGAACTGCAACATTGTATTTAGTATATATTATTAATGATAAGACAAATAAAATCAGTCATAAGTGCAGTTCATCTTCAACTAAATATATTGTAAATCAGGGATTACTTGTATTCAGGATAACCACACTCTTCTTTTAAGATTTAAAATTAAATAATCCTGAAAAATATGCCTAGGAAAAATGCAGTAGAGGGACCCTCAAAGGCAATAATATAAATAAGATCTCACAATAGTGAATTGTGCCATTTAATTGTGTTGAATAATAGTGACATTAATCAGACAGGAAGAAGCTATCAGCCTCTTTTCCCACCATAATCAGACAGGAAGAAGCTATCAGCCTCTTTTCCCACCATCATAATTCTGGATGCAGTTGTACTTCGGAGTTACTGGATCTGTTCAGCCTCCAACTCCTGAGTGGCTTGTAGTGAGAGACAATTAGAGAGGATCAGATTTTAAATGACTATTTTGGACCTTATATGAACTAAACAGTCACATACTATGATATGGTTCTATTTTGAAGCCAAAAAAATGGCGCTTGTGCCTATAATTTCCCTTTGATTGTGCCAGGTCTGCTAGCTCTTTAAACTGAATTTTGGTATATCCATACAATGCACTGTTTCTTAGCCATAAAAATGTCAAAAAAAACGGATGCATACAAGAAAATATATAAATATATAAATCTCAAAAATATAAATAGAGCCAAGTACAAATTCATTATTATATTTATAAGAAAATATGCCTTTAGGTTTGAAAGCAGATCTTGATTATCTGGTTTTAGGAATAAAAGTAGACATTAACTAGGAAGGAGGAGTACAAGGGAACTTTCTAAAGTCAGGTCAATATTATATGTCTTAACTAAGGTGGTGGTTACATGGATATATATTTGTCAAATTCCATCAGCTTATTGGCCTAAAAAGTATACTTTTTTATACGTGTAAATAATATCCCAATCAACCCACTTCAGAGAGTTGGGTGGATTAAATATTTTGAATGCATATATAATGCTTAGCACGAGACCTGGCACATAGTAGATCCTCATATGCAGTAGCTGAAAATTACTAGCATTAATATAATTATTACTAAGATCATAGTTATTTCTCCTTTGATTTCTCTCTTTATAATCATCTTACAGAAAACCCATATAGACAGCTACCTTGTAACTGTCATGGAAGCATGCCTGGAAAGACAGCAATAGAACTGGGACCTCTTTGGTATGTATCAAAGTATACAACAACATGTTCAAAATTATTTATGGATTGGTTTATTAATTGCCGAATTTCGGTTATGTCTGGCACTAGCCAAGCAAATTAAGATTCAATTTTAAGTCTCTGTGAATTATGATTCCTTTCCCATTATGAAGTCAAGGGGTTACCTGTCTTCAGATTTTTCTCTACTATCATTCTCCTAAAAGGTTTACTCCATCCATCTTGTTATGGTAGACTCTACTTTGAGGACGTAGCTCTTCCACATTGGTATTTTGAGTGTCTTCCAATATGAGGGTCTCTTCAGACAGTGTTCCAGTACTATTCATAAGGTTTCCATAACTAATTTTTCAGAAGTAGCACATAAAAAATTATATGGAAGGTATAAAGACTGCTATCTTAGTCATTAGTAGCTGACATGGATTGGTATTGGCCATTTGGAGCCATTTTGGTCTATGCCAAGAATGACAAATTAGAGAGGAATCATATCACATTCATTTATTCTGCAATACAGTGCTGTTGTGATAGGATTATATTCATATGCCAGCAAGGAAAGCAAGTTAATGAGACTGTTACTCAAATTGATGCATCCACAACTAAAGCCAAAAATGAAGAAATGACGATTTCTTTCACTATCTCCATAGAAATTGATCAGCCATATAATCAACATACATTGATAACTACTGGTGATTGAAATATGGAAGTTGGGAACAAAGAGGAAGGATTGGTAGTTGGAAGATAATGATTTTGGTGATAGAAACAGACATCTAATGATAGAATTTTTAAAGCAATTTTATTGATAAATAGTTCTTGTATTGTACAATTGGTTGTTGTACAGTGGTTTAAATATATTTAAAAGATTTGTATGGTCACCACATCAAATGTAGAATCTTTTCTTTGTTTTTTTCTTTATTCTTATACTCATTAGCTCCCAATTATCCCCCAGCCTTCTCTTCCAAAATCCTAAGGAACAATGTCTCTGTGCATTCACCAAGCCTGGATTTAATATAAAGAAAACCATCCCCCCATAAAAAAGACAATAAAAAACAAAGCAGAGAACCTCCATCCAAGAGAAAACTAGTTAAAACTAGAACAAATAAAAATGGGTCAAATTTAAAACAAATAATTTTGAACTGTGTTAAATATTAACCTAACTATATCTACAGTAATCTACGGTAATCTCTCTGAGGGCAAGATTATTCACATCCCTGATTAAAGGTCTGAGGGAATTCTACAGAAGCTTAATCCATGCTGTGAATCTGCAAATGGATTTTATGCTTTTATGTCATCCACAGCCTTCAGCAAACTGAGTACTCTGAATTTAAGCTTTAATATAATTCTTTCTTCTGATCCTGGATATTATTATGTACAATCCTTGGGTCACCTCAAGTCATACCCTACTTCTGTGTGGACTTAGCTGACACCTCACATAGATGGTTGCTTAATTTAGGACAAGCCTTTAAGGACCCAAACATTATTCTTTCTGATAGTCAGGGAAAACAAATGATAGAATTTTGCAACATCTACAGCATAGCCACTTGAAAAGACAAAGTAAAATCGTATAATGGAATATGCAAAGACCTAGAATTAGAAAAACGAGCATGCTAAGCATTTCTCAAACTGAAAGAACTGAATAAAAAAGTTAAGCCTTGAGATGCACTACTAAAGGACTCAAAGGGCAATATATTGAATACTGCAGGAAGTATCAAAAGAAAATGGAAGAATGGTGTGGAGAGTATAACTTGATATTGTTGATTTCGCTTCTTGAGATAGGCTGTGAAAATATAAACGACGTTTTTCTTTAAAAGCCAAAAAAAAAAATGTGTGCAGATTCCATATTCCTCAAACTTAAAATAGTAATCTGAGTGGCAGCATATAAAGGGAAAAAACTGAAATGGACTTGGAGTCTTTAGAGACAAACAAGTTCAAACAAAAAAGCCTCGGTACCAAGAACTGATTGACATTCACTTATTTCAGGAGGTAGCGTATAATCAGGGACTGATGACATTGAAGAAGAAGTTTAAGCCGAAGCGAAGGCATTGGGGAAAAACAGGCTCTAGGAATTGGTGAAATACCAATTTAAATGTGCCAGCAAACAGATACAACACTTAGTGGCACTTACTTGTCTATGCCAAAAGATTTGGAAAGCAGGTACCTGTGGGTATCATCATAAACTGTGGACAGTATTGTGAAGAATGAGAATACCAGAACAAATCATTGCTCCTGCAGACCCTGTATGTAGACCAGAAGGCAGTCATTTTAACAGGACAATGGGCGCTTGTGTGGTTTAAAATTAGGAAAGGTGTCCATCAAGGGTGTATCCTTTCACCTTACTTTTTCAGTCAATATGCTGAGCCGATCTAAATCCAAAATGCTGGACCATATGAAGAAAAGCTCAGCATCAGATTGGAGGAAGATTCAGTAACATTCTGTGATCTGAAGATAAGCACACTCTTGCTTGATTATGTGTGAGGAAGACTTGAAGCACTTACTGATGAAGGTAAAATTAACAGCCTTTAATTTGGAATCCACCTCAATGTAAGCCAAAACCACTCACTACCTTTGAGTCGAATCCAACTCCTGGGGACACTACCAGACACAGTAGAATAGGGCAATCCCTATTGCCCCTGTGAGTCCTGAGACTGTAAATCTGATTCTCAACCTTCCTGATGCCGTGACCCTTTATACAGTTCCTCATGGTGTGGTGACCCCTAACCATAAAGTTATTTTCATTGCTACTTCATAACTATAATTTTGATACTGTTATGAATTGGGCAACCCCTGTGAAAGGTTCGTTTGACACCCACCCCCAAAGGGTTCGCGACCCACAGGTTGAGAACTGTTGGTGTAAAATTTTTCGGGAACAGAAAGCCTCGTCTCTGCTCACATGAAGCAGTTGTAGGTTCATACTGCTGACCTGTGTGTAGTAGCAAAACTTGTAACCCACACCTACACCAGGGCTTCCACCTCAATGTAAAGTAAATAAAAATCCTCAACTGGACCAATAGACAACGTCATGGTAAAGACATAATTGATGTTATCAAGGATCCTTTTTTTGTCCAGTTGTATGAATATGTCACATTTTATAAATTTATAGATAGATGTTTGGATTGTTTCTATATCTGGGCTATTATAAATAATGCTTCAATAACACTAATGTACAAATATGAATCCCTATTTCCTGAGGGAGAAATGAGGGGCTTTCTGTACCCATAAAGGAAGAGTTAGTCTTGAAAACTCAGAAGCATTTCTGCCCTATCCTGTGGGGCCATTATGAATAGGCATAGAGTCAATGGCAGTGAGTGAGAATGCACGTAAAATCTGGAGACCAGAGAAGAACTGATGCATTTAGATGCTAGTGTTGGTGAAGAATATTGACAGTACCATGAACTTCCGGGAGGAGGAGGAAGTACAGGCAGTATGGATAAGGTAGTTAGAATGCTCCTTAGAAGTTCGGATGAGACTTTCTCCACAGTCTTTGGCCATGTCACCAGGAGGGACTAGCCTCTGGAGACAGACACCATGCTTGGCAAAACAGAAAGAGGAAGGCCGTCAAGTAGATACACTGGATTGGCACAGTGGCTGCAACAGTGGCTCAAACGTAACGATTGTGAGGATGCGCAGGACCAGGAAATGACAGCACATAAAAACAGCATTCGCCCTGGCTTGTGGCAATGTTCTGACAAGTGAGGTGGAAAGTGTGGCTTATCTACAAACTAGGTAATTCATTTATAAATAATAAGAATGAAACCCTTTTCTATTGATAATTGTAGAATAGAGTATGATTGTAAGGTGATTGTGGTAACTTTTTATAAAACTTCCATCTTAACATATGTACAAATGTGCTTGACACAATGGATGGATATATGGATTGTGATAAGAGCTGTAACAGTCCCCAATAAAATGATTTTTTTTTTAAGGAAAAAAAAAACTGCCATCAAATACAAAAGATCCGTGAGGAATCATTTTAAGAGGGAAAGCCTTGTAGTCACCTTTGTTTTAGGTGAAGCTGTTTATATAAGACACCATGACAAATATTTCATGCATAAAGGAGCTTCTGAATGTTTCCGGAAAAGCAGATTGAAAGATAATGTGTGTCTTTGCAATATTAGTTACAAGTTATTAAATTTTAATTATCTTTAATACAAATTCTTGTGGTTTCTAATGATTTCTTGTAGGGTATTTGAGATTCCTAAGAACATTGTGACAAGAATCATTACAAGTTGCCTATTATTTAATCTTCAGCACATGTGAATACCCTTAAGGTATAAGTGAATTAGTCAGATCACAAAGTGAATGGGCAGCCTACAGATAGAAGAAAATATTTGGAAACTATATAGCTGACAAGGTTTAATATCCAGAGGATATTAAAATAAAAATTTTCATTGAAAAGTAGAGTGTAAAGATAATAGAATTTTTGCATAAATTTCTTGAATCACTCATATAAAGAACTACAGGTCAATAATGAAATTAAAAGCAATCTTACTTAAAAATTGGCAAAATTACTTAAGTAGCTAGTTCTCAAAACCAAATATACATGTGGCCAGTAAGTACATAAGATGTTCACCCAGAACAAAAATTCATATCCATGTGAAGGAGGGGGAGCATGGAGTGGAGACCCCAAGCCCATCTGTAGACAATTGGACATCCCCTCACAGAAGGGTCACAAGGAAGAGACGAGCCAGTCAGGGCGCAGTATAGCACCAATGAAACTTACAACGTTGCTCTAATTCTTTAATGCTCCCCCAACCCCCACCCACTATCATGATCCCAATTCTACCTTACAAATCTGGTTAGACCAAAGCGTTTCCACTAGTACAGATAAGACCTTAAAACACAGGGAATCCAAGACAGATAAACCAATAATGAGAGTAGTGATACCAGGAGGGAAAGGGGAAGGTGGGGGGAGAAAGGGGGAAATGATCACAATGATCTACATATAACCCCCTCCCTGGGGGTGGACAACAGAAAAATGGGTGAAAGGAGGCAGTGGTCAGTGTAAGACATGAAAAAAAATTATAAATCACCAAGGGTTCATAACAGTAGCATAACAGTATCAAAACTGCAATTTACGGAGTTGCAATGAAAATATAATTTTATGGTTGGTGGGGGTGGAGGGGGGTGGTCATCACAACATGAGGAACTGTATTAAAGGGTCATGGCATTAGGAAGGTTGAAAACCACTGGTCTATGTAGATCAGTGGTTCTTTTTACTGTGGAATGATTAGATTCTATTTTATCAATTCATCTATGGATAGATATTTGAATTGTTTCTCCACTTTTTGGCTATTATGAATAATGCTGCAATGAACACTGATGTACAAGAACGTACTCCTACTTTTCAATTCTTCAGGAGCAGGGGGGGGGGGGGGGGAATGAGCTGATAACAAGGGCTCAAGTGGAAAGAAAATGTTTTGAAAATGATGATGTCTACGTGTGTACAAATGTGCTTGACACAATGTATGTATGGATGGATTGTGATAAGAGCTGCACGCCCCCCAATACAATTATGAAATGCAACAACATTGCAAAGACATCCTTTGCAGTAGATTTCCCCAATTTAAAAAAAAGGTGTTCAACATTAGATAAATGCAAATCAAAACCACCATGAGATACTACTTCATACCTACTAGAAAGACTGTTATAAAAAATGAGTCCTGATGAATGAGAATGTGGAGAAAGTAGAATCTTTGTACATTATGGGTGGAAATGTAAAATGGTGCAGCTGCCCTGCTAAAGAGTTTGTCGGGTCTTCACAAAGTAACACACAAGGTAGGCTTCAAAAAATACATGGAAAAATTCCATTATGTTTTGATTTCATTTTTCCACAAATTTTTTCAAACCCCTTGAAAGAATTACCACATGACCCAGAGATTCCACTCCTAGGTATACAACCAAAAGAATTGAAAAGTAGGAGTATGTCTTGGATTTCCTGTGTTTCTAGCTCTGATCTCTACCAGTATACATGCTCAGGTCCAGCCGGATTTGTAAGGCAGAATTGGGATCATGATAGTGGTAGGGAGGAAGCATTAAAGAACTAGAGAAAAGTTGTGTGTTTCATCAGTGCTATACTGCACCCTGACTGGCTTATCTCCTCTCTGTGACTCTTCTGTAAGGGGATGTTCAGTTGCCTACATACAGATGGGCTTTGGGTCCCCACTCCAGACTCCCCCTCATTCACATTGATAAGATTTTTGTTCTTTGATGCCTGATACCTGATCCTATGGATACCTCATGATCACACAGGCTCATGTGCTTCTTCCATGTGGGTTTTGTTGCTTCTCAGCTAGGTGGGCACTTGTTTATCTAAAGGTCTTTAAGACCCAAGACACTATATCTTTTGATAGCCAGGCACCATCAGCTTTCTTAGCCACATATGCTTATGCACCTGCTTTGTCTTCAGCAATCGTGTTGGGAAGGTGAGCATCATGGAATGCCAGTTTAATAGAACAAAGTGTTCTTGTGTTGAGGGAGTACTTGAGTAGAGGCCCAATGTTCATTGCTACCTTAATACTTAACATATGTACATAGAGCTATTTCCCTATCGTTATACATAAATATATTTACATATGTACATGCCTGTATGTAGTCCTCTGTAAATGCCCTTGCCTCCTAGTTCTTTCCTCTATTGCCTTTTACTTTCCTCTTTTCCCACTATCATGTTCAGCCTTCATTTGGGTTTCAGTAATTCCTCTCGCTTTACATTGCCCTTGATCAAGCCCTATCGTGCCTCCTACACCCTGCTCACCATCGATTTTGGATCACTTGTTCCATTTTCCCTGGGGTTGTTAACACCTACTTCCTTTCCCCCACCTCCCATGACCTCCCTGGAACTGTCCTTCCAGTTGTTTTCTCCTCCAGCTTGTTTATCCCACCTATCTTATCTAGATAGACCTGCAGAGATAACAATATGCACAAAAACAAGACAGAGCAAAACAAAGCAACCAAACAAAACAAGAACGACCGAAAAAAAGCCTGTGAATAGTTCCAGGTCTGTTTGTTGACCTTTAGGGGTGTTTTCTGGTGAATCTGATGGAGTGCCATCCCCTGGCCCCACAGTCTGTTTTTGGTGTTCCCTGGAGACTTTGTTGCTCTATGCCCCTTGCTGTTCTGTTGCACACCGTTAGTGTTTTGCCTCTGTGTGGTGGGGTCAGATAGGGCCCAATTCCCACACTGCGTCTCCAGTGTTGTCCCCCATAGCGCTATGGGTCCGTGAGGGACGTTGTGCCTCGTAGTGGGGCCTGTCCTGTGATCCTCTTTGTGCACTTGCTGCTCTGAGCAGGAATGTCATCCTCAGCGCTTGGTGGGCCAGGATGTGCTCCATTCTCTCTTCCTTCCCCTTCATTTGCTCTAATCACACATGTCCCTCTCCCTGTATCTTCAGTGCTGTCCTCTGAAGTAAATTCTTCTGTGGGGAGGGGGGGGCTGTCCACCTAATTGGGATGGGGCTGGCCCTTCAGCCCTCTGAATTTATATACTTTAATGATTAAAATGGTTTATTTTATTATATGTATTTTACCGCAGTACATTAAAGGGGGTGGGGGGGGGGGAGCATGGAGGAAAGTCAGAAAACCAACAAATGTGAAAAGGGGAAATGGAGCAAGAGGGGACGGCAGGAGATTTTCCACACTGAATTCTGCCTGTGTAATTAGAAATGAGCCTGCAGCAGTAGGAAACAAGGAGGTGTGTAAAAACCTGTTGAGGCTCCAGAATGAGGCCAGCAGTAGACATGAGAGCACCAGCCCAGCGGAGAAGAGCAGGGGTGGTGGCTGCCAATGCACCGTGTGACCTTGAGCTGACCCTCAACAGCTTAGCCCGAAAAGTCCTTAGAAGGGCTTGAGATATGTCCTTGAAGGACCACCACAAGTTGGAGTGGGAGGAATAGGGAAAGGACTTACTAACGTTTCCTTTACCTCAGGCCCTCCAGCCTACTGAACCACCTACTTGTTACGTTATGGAAGTTGTTTTTGCTTTTGCTATTTCTGAAACACAGTTCTCAATATATTTTCTTTTTCAGGTCAAGTTCCCTTTTTAACACTGGATTCCTCAAAAGAATGTTGCTTCAGTCTCTGCACCATGGCTTAGAGGACATTCAGACCCTAATAAAGACATTAATCTTTGAATCCGAGTGTACTCCTCAAAGTCACTCTTCAGGTCGTCCGTCTTCAGTTGTCAGCAAACAAGGTAAATGCTAGGTCATAAGATAGGTATCAAGAATAAGTAAGCTTTTTTATCGTTCTTTGATTTGATCATCCAAAAAATGTAGTTATAAATAAAGCAAAAGCTAGTGTTTTAGAGGCTATAAATTTATGTGAGCAGACAGCCTCATTTTTATCACTTTGAGCCACTCGTGCGTTTGAACTGCCAATCTTGGGGTTAGCAGTCCAGTGGTTACCCACAGCGCCACCAAGGTAAGCTTTAAATTAATTCCCTCTAATATGTCTAATTATAACCTACTTTTTTTTTTTACTTTAAAAAAAACCACAGCAATCACTTCTCGGCCTTTTGGCTAAGATCAAAGTGTAGTATCTGTTCTTAACAGTTTAATATCTGATATGCCCTCTATCCGAGGACAATATGTTAAATGGATTTCTTGAATTAGGAGATGGAATAGGAGCTTGCTCCATCCACTCCACGCATCGAGCTGGTACTGCAGTACTTCCAGGAATGGTGCACACTCCCTTCGGGGAGGAAAAAGCAATGGTTTAAAAAGAGTTGTTTTAATTTCTCTTTCAATAAAATCTGTTTATTACTTTTAATTTCATTATGATTTCCTTTTTCAGAAGTGTGTTCGGTGTGCTCATGTTACCAACTTTTCTTGTTTGCATTAGCACAGCGACTAACTTTTACAACCTTTAAAACACAGAGTAGACGTTTCCATTGATTTTTCTTTAAGAATACTTACTTTTATTTGTATTCTGTGACTTGAATATTTTCACATCCGTGAGTGGTCTGTTTATAGTTCATTTTTCAACTTGTCTTAATTTACAGCACGAGTTTTAGTGTAATAAAACTAATCCGTGTGTTCTTGAGAGCCACTGCAAAAGGGAGAAAAGGGGTAGGAAAAAAACCCACAGCTTTTTCAATTTTGTGATCTGGGGCCTGAAAGAGTGAATTTATTTAATTATTCTTTATGCTTCATTTCAACAAATGGAAGAAAACAAAATCCCCTTATAATTTTATTACCCTACACCCACTTTCTAGGAAGAAAAAATCTTACGTAATTCCTAGATTATGACCACAAGTTTGATAATGTTCATTGAGACATGGTAAATAGATTGGCATTTATCACCCATTAAGCTTTTTTCCCCTTTATATTCTCTTTAGTATAAGAAGACTTTTGTTTCTTATCTGGCTATTAATATAAGGACAGGCCTATTAAATATTTGAGCTTTTGTTTTTGTATCTGTAGTTTAGAAGTCACTTTCTTAGAAACTACTGCTACTTGAGAGGGTTTAAAAAATAATTTTTTAAAAATTAATTCTTGTCCACTCTGTGTTTGTACCCTTGTCCCTGTTCTGTGTCGTGGCTGAGGTTTCCTGTGGATATTGCTTCATGTAGCATACGTGACTCCACCTCGCATGTGTGACAAATGCCCGAGGTTTCCTGATGCAGGGCTGCTTGCCCTGTTGATAGTTCCAAAGCCAGTCTTTTATGGCCATTCAAGAAATCACGGTCCTCTACCCATTTGGAAAAAAAAAAAAAAAAGTTATTGTCTATTTTGATCATACATTTTGTATTTTCACAAAGGACGTGTGGATATAATTTCATAAAATTTTATTAAAAATTTGAATTGTTGCTAAATATCACTTGTATTAAATATTTTATTACCTCTTAATTTTTTTAGAAGAATATGGTGTATGTACTAAAGCTTCAGATGATACCTCAACTGATAATTACATTACGCAAGGTATGCATTTCAGTACAAACATGCCCAGCTAGATGTCTATATGCGAATACATACATGCATGTATCAACATAGAAAGACAGCAGAGGGTGGAGAGACAGAAATTGTCATGGTGGCCCACTTAAAAATACATGTGTTACACTGACATTATCACACTAAAACTTGTTTATCTTAATTTCACATAGTCCAAAATTTTTATTACAATGGCCTTTGTTCCTATCTCAGTATGAGATGATCCTCCTGTCACATCTGAAAAGAACCATTTTTCGCATTTGCCTTCTAAATACTTTTACTGAAGCAGATGATGGTTTTCTTAAAGAACGAAGATTTGGCTGTCATGTCCATGACACATCACTGTTTTCCTGTCATGATACTTAGAAGGAAACTTTATGGCTTGCCTCTTTTCACTTAAAATGGAAAGACTCCCCGTAGTGAAAGTAGAAGGAAATGGTATCATGCATTGTTTCTTTTATGAGTTTCTGTGGCCAAACTCTTGAGCTGTTTCTTTTTTTTTTTTTTAATCATTTTATTGGGGGCTCATAGAACTGTTACCACAATCCATACACATATCAATTGTGTAAAGCACATTTGTACATTCACTGCCCTCATCATTCTCAAAACATTTGCTCTCCACTTAAGCCCCTGGCTTCTACAACATGGAATTCTGAGTTATTAAGCAATAGGGTGATCTCAAGGGTGTAAAATAGTAAAAAATACATGGTGAGTGGAATCTAGACTCTTAAGAATTAAGATTGGAAAAATGAGGAGCCGATACCAAGGGCTTAAGTGGAAAGAAACCGTTTTGAAAATGATGATGGCAACAAATGTAAAAATGTGCTTGCCACAATGGATGTATGTATGTATGGATTGTGATAAGAGTTATACAAACCCCGAATAAAATGATTTTTAAAAATTATTATTGGATAGATAGGTTGAATTTTTTTGTGTCCAGGATATTTCCTTGAAACAATAGTTATTAAAATATATATTTTTGTTTGTGTTGTGCTAACTTTTGTGTGTTTCAGGAAAGAGAAAAGGTCATGAAATTATTACAAATTTAGCCAAGAAGCAAAAGGCTGATATCAGTACTGAACATCCCCCCTTTTATTACAACATCCACAGACACAGCATTAAAGGAATGAACATGCCAAAGTAAGACGGCCAGAGATGGCGAAGTGTATGTTTTATATTTTAATGATTTTGTGATTTAAATGAAAATACAAGAACTTTATTTTTCTTGTATTTTCTCTACAGGCTAAAGAAGTTTTTGTGCTATCTTTCTCAAGCAGGCTTTCGAGTAAGCCGAACTCATTTTGACCCAATGGGTGTTCGTACAGATGCACCTCTGCTGCAGTTTAAATCTATCCTTTTAAAATACAGCACCCCAACCTACACTGGAGGACAATCAGAAGGTCTTGTCCAATCAGCACCTGAAGATACAGTAGCTGACAGAGTCGAAGTGTCAGTGAACGAGAAAGCAGAAGCAAGCAACTGCAGAAGATGGTAAATGAAGAGGAGTTTATTCCTAGATATCTGCGTAGATGACCTGCGTGTGCTCAATGCCAACCAACTGTAGTGCTTTTTCTATACTTTCAGTTCGGTAGTGTAAAAATAAAAACAGTGCTGTTTTCACTCAGCAAATTAGCAGTTTCTAACTTGGCTGGTTTGGGAGCTATGCTTTTCCAAGTTTTTCTTATTTTAAAGAAAACTTTAAAATTTTTAATGAAAACATTTCATATATTGAACCAAGTTTCTCAGATCACCCTATTGCTTAATAACTCAGAATTTTATGTTGTAGAAGCCATCTTTTAAACACTCTTTACTTCCTGATTTTATTTTTGTTTTTCTATTTATAAGTACAAAATTAACCCAGAAACCTTTCAGATATGAAAATGACCCTGAACAGACACAGCACTTCTCCAGGTCACTTGTGCATCTGTTACAATAATATTCCAGTTTAAGAAACCCTACCTCTGCACATTGATCTTTTAAGTTATTATTATTACACTAGTTAAATTTTACCTGCCTAAGATAGAAATAATACTTTTCTTAACAGATTTGAGGTCTACATAGTTAGACTTGCATAGCAAAATTTTATCAAAGTAAATTGAAACCCGTGTTCATAATGCTGAATCTTCTGAAGAGATGTTGTAGTAAACTGGCTGGGTGATTTTGAGTGCCACAGTTAATGCACGTACAGCATTCATTCGCCTGGTTGTGCTAGCTCTCAGAAGTACAATTTGTCACATGAAAAAGTAAGGGTTTTTATTTGTTTGATTTTTGTGTGTGTGCGCGCATGTTAATTTTTTGTATAAGTATCCCAGGCTAACATGACGATAAAAATTAGCTGAACAAAGTTTTTGTTTCTACTAATAAATATTGTTCTTTCATTTGGTGTAATATTTTGGATGAAAGGGTTTGGTATGAACTTTAAGTTTTTACCTCAAGGGTTCTAATCCATATTTTTACACTGAGGAATTTCTTAGAGAAAACAATTTTTTATAGCAATTAAACTTAGAGGGTGAGGGATGATGAGTTATAATGAGAAAGTTCACGTGTGTTATATAGAAAAAAGCACTTCTGTGACACACAGAAAAGAAGCTAGTGGTGGGCGGTATAGATCAATACAGGATATTAATTTAGAAATAAAAGGAAATACATTATTTCCAAGCTGTTTTATATGCCAATTAATGCAATGCATTTTAAGAAAATGAATAAGTGAAGCGAAAATTAGTGTATACAGTGACCATAAAGTCCCACTTTCGGTGGTTATGATAATAATCCACAAGTGAGCAGAAAAGGTCATTCGTTACTGTTTTGTTCAGTATAGTTCTAAAGAAAAACTGTTACCAATTCAGAAGTCAACTCGGCACTTGGATCATCGTTTTAGAACATATTCTTAAATACCAATTATAAATGTTGCTAAATGTTTATCAATGATTTAGCTTATGTATTAATGCCACACAGGTAATTTTCTCAAGAAAAACTTGATAGGTACTCTGATATATTGCGTCAACTAAAGAAAGAAATACTTTAAAATGCCACCTAGTCCTACATTAGCCTTGTTCCCCTGTTATCAATCATTTGGGTTGCTGCAAATGCTGGCCATGTTGTAATGGTGACATCATTTGTATCCTCTGTTAAAACCAGTTTTGCTAGTATAGATTTTGCTGATTGCTGACATCACAACAGTGATACAGTCCGGAAATGGAACAAGTAACCAAGGGATGGGGGGTTTGAAGTTGTTGGGGTAGAGCTAGGTTGTAACTCCATGAATTCCCTGACTCACATAAGGCAAATTAGTGATGTTCTGCTTCACAGAAATGTGAATTAACGCTAGTTAGGACCAAAAAGTCTTGCAGGAGAAAAGACTGGGCTTTTTACTCCCATAAACCGTTTCCGTTTCGGAAACCCACATGGAGTCACTGTGCGTCGGCAACAACTCATTGGCAATAAAATACGTAGCAGACCAAAAGGTCTAGGAATTTATAGCCCCATTAACATATTCTGTCATAGAAGGTTAAGAAGAAGCAATACAAATTTAAGTCAAGTATTGTTACAAAATCATAAACATTATTAAAATAAAGTGTGAACTGACTGTTTTAGAATATATCCTCCATATAGTTCCATACACTTCTGAAGATGGTGTGTTCATCTCTCTTAACCCTTCCCCAAAGAATTCTGCACACTTCAATTTACACCACATCACAACAGCAATTTTGGCATTCTTGAGGGACTCGGATGGTTACCCTTTTCAATGTTCTTTGGGCTGCAGGAACCAAAAGAAAGCTGAAGGGGAAAGGTGAGAGCAATAGGGAGTCTGGGTTAAGGGTTTCCAACAGAGTTCTCGCAGGACCCCTTGCTACCCGCGAAGAATGAGCAGATGTATTATCCTGATGGGGAAAATTCCTTAGTGTAAGTCATCGATTATCTTAAAACTTCTTCCTGTTCAGTGGCCACAATCATCATCCTGTCCATTTGAGAGGATCTCAAGATTATCCTGTGGCAGTTTAAGACATCTGGAGGTTTGGGGATTATAAGTTTATAAATTATCAAGGGTTCATGAGGGAAGGAAGGTGGGGGAGAGGGAAATGAACTGATATCAAGGGCTCAATTAGAAAATGCTTTGAAAATGATGGCAACAAAATTAAAGAAAATGCTGATGGCAACATGTATAAATGTGCTTGACATGATGGATGTATGGATTGTGATAAGAGTTGTAAGAGCCCTCAATAAAATGATTTTTTTACAAAGCAAAACTATTCCTTTGAAATCTCCTTAACAGTGGCCATAACCTTGAATTTAATTGGCCCAGCAGACCCTTTCTGAGCAGACCTTTAGTTTGAAGGTGCCCTAAGGAGATGAAGACAAGTATATTACCAAGAGAACTTACCTGCAGAGACAGACATGTTTAAATATAGTGTTTGCAATACACCTGTTTAATTATGAACCGGAGACCTAGATTGGTATTAAATGCTATAATTAATAAAAGGAAATTATTTTGTATTTAAAGGGATTGTTTTGGAATAAATTGTAGTTTAACTTGACAAGAGAATTTCTCTCCAATTATAAAGTAATCACCATCTGACTACCATGTCTAATTAATAAATCAAATCCTAGCTAATATCTAGAGAACATTTTATTACACAAGATTTCTAGCTTTACATTTCCAAGCATGTAAGCAACTGTTGGAGAATTTTCTTGACAGAAGGTAAATGAACTGGCATATTATTAAAGACCCTTAATTTTTGCAATCTTCACAGGCTTAAGGAACCCTGGTGGGGTGGTTGGTTACATGCTGGTGTGCCTACTGCAAGGTCAATAAGTGGAACCCACCAGCAGCTGCAGGGGTGTAAGATGAGGCTTTATGTTGTAAAGAGTTATAGTCTTGGACAGGACAGAGCTGCCCTGTGGGTTTCCAAGGTTAACTCTTTAACGGATGGTTTCAGACCACTATTCCAGCAGGGCTCCTACAGTGGACTGAATAGTAGCCCACAAAAAGAACATCAGAATGTGACCTTACTCAGGATAAAATTCTTTGCAGAATAAAGTAATTTGAGATGAGATTATCCTGAATTAGGATGGCCCCTACTTCTAATGATGAGTGTTCAAGGGAAGAAATGACAGAAAGCGGGCAAGGCCATTTGAAGATGAAGGCAGTTCACTGGAGTTTTGTGTCTACAAACTAAGGCGTGCCAAGAATCACCAGCAGTAACCAAAGGTTCAGAGAAAGGCATGGAACCAAATCTCCCTTAAAGACGAGATGGAACCTTGCAAACACTGATTCAGACTTGTGAGCTCAGAAGTGGTTGTAAGAAAACAAAATTGTGGCAATTTTTGACAAAACAGGAAACTAATACAACAGAAGTAAACATCCACTCCTATCACCACTGATGTTAACTTTAATTTTTTTATTCCTTTATTAATTTCCAATTTTGTGATCGCGCATATTTTTATTAGGTTGTCATTTTTTAAATTCTGACATTAAATATCAGATTTTTTAATTTGCAGGTGTGTTCTCCTGTAGATTGTCTCCACTTTCTTAAAAACTGATTTTTGATGAACAAAAATCTATTCTGATTTAATCTAATGTGATCTATTTCTTCTTGGTTGCTCTTGTTTGAAGTAATTTATGTGAAAATCTATTGAAAAACATGAGATCCTGAATATTTACCCCCATTTTCTTCTACAGCTTACTGTTGTTGCTTATTTTGGTCATTTAAATCATTATGATCCAAGGCACAGGCCTAACTTCATTCTACGTGTAAAAACCAAATTTTCCCATTGCTAATTTTTGAAGAAACCACTCCTTGTCTATTGAATGAACTTGGCACACCTATTAAAATTCAACAAGCCATAGAACGTGGATTTATTTTTAAATCCCTATTTTACTTCAGTGGTCTGTATGTCAGTCTTTGGACTAAGATAACTGTTTTCAGTACTGTACCTTTAAAGTATGTTTTGAAATCAAGATGTAGGATTCCTACTTTGTTTTTATTTTGGTTATCCAAGAGCTCTCCAGTACATTTGAGTTTATGGTTGAGTATTTTAATGCTGAAAAAATGAGAATGCTGTTGAGCCAAAGTCTTAACTTCCTTGAAATTTTTTTATTAAAAGATCATTCTACTGGGGGCTCTTACACCTTCACCCACTTTTCTGTTGCCTATCACCCAGGGAGGTTATATGTAGATCCCTGTAATCGGTACCCCCTTCCACCCCACCCACCCTCCGGTATCACCACTCACACCACTGGTCCTGAAGGGATTATCTGTCCTGGATTCCCTGTGTTTCCATTTCCTATCTGTACCAGTGTACATCCTCTGGTCTAGCCAGATTTGTAAGGTAGAATTGGAATCATGATAGTGGGGGGCGGGGAAGGAAGCATTTAGGAACTAGAGGGAAATTGTATGTTTCATCGTTGATACACTGCGCCGACTGACTCGTCTTCTGCCTGTGACCCTTCCATAAGGGGATGTCCAGTTGCCTACAGATGTGTCTTGGATCCCCAATCTGCATCCCCCACTCACATTGATTTGATTTTTTGTTCTTTGAGGCCTGATAACTGATCACACAGGCTGGTGTGCTTCTTCCATGTGGGCTTTGTTGCTTCTGAGCTCAGTGGCCACTTGTTTACCTTCAAGTCTTTATGACCCTAGATGCTATATCTTTTGATAGCCAGGCTCCATCAGCTTTCTTCACATTTACTTATGCACTGCTTTGTCTTCAGCGACCATGTCAGGAAGATGAGCATCATGGAATGCCAGGTTAATAGAACAAAGTATTCTTGCATTGAAGGAGTACTTGAGTGGAGGCCCAATGTCTATCTGCTACCTTAATACTAAATCTATACATATATGCACATAGATGTCCCCATCATATATATAATTTACATATGTACAAGCCTTTATTTAGACCTCTAAAAATGCCCTTTGCCTCCTAGTTCGCTCTTCTATTTCCTTTTACTTTTCTCTTGTGGGAATTTTTATACATAAAATCACGTTACCTGTGAGTAGAATGTTTGACTTCTAATTTGGATGCCCTTTAGTTTTTAATAAATCATTTTATTGAGGGCTCTGCTAGCTCTTCTAACAATCCACAATTCAATTGTATCAAGCACATTTGTACGTTACCACTTTAAAAATAATTTAAGCCCTTGGTATTAGCTCATTTTTCCCTCCCTCCCCAACCCTTGTTTTTCATTGCCTAATTGCTCTGGCTAACCTCCCGGTATTATTCAGCATACCAATGGTCAAAGTAGGCATCCTTGTCCTGTTTCGGGATCTTAGTAGGCCTTTTGAGAAATTTCCCATGTATTCCTTGCTTGTTTTGTTTTTTTTAAATCATTTTATTGGGGGCTCTTATGGCTCCTCACAATCCATACATACATAGTGTCAAGCACATTTATACCCATGTTGCTATCATTTTCAGAACATCATTTTTCTACTTGAGCTGGGTTTTTTTTTAAACCCCTTCACCCTTTATTGTCGAAAATAAACAGAAAACTGTGTGCCAACTCAGCGGTTTCTAGATGGACAATCCATTGACATTTACGTGGTCTTTGCCTTGCGTTTCCTCCATTAACAGAGTCCCCGCTTCTGGTTTCGTCTAATCTTCTGAGTTACTTTTGTCAGTTTGGTCCCATATAGTATTTAAATGAGAATAATGATGAATGTAGACCTAATCTTGTTCCCTTTCTTTCTAATGGTGATTAAGCTAAAGTATTTCTTGGATCTAAGATGTAGATATCTTTTTTAAAGATTATCACAGTACAATAATAATGATTCAACCAGCCTTGGTGGAGTCCACAATAATATAAATTTTTATTTTGCATTTTCTCTCTCTCACCAGAATTCCTTTACAGGAGAAAGATGAGGCTTTTTACTCCCATGAAGTTACACAGTGTCAGAAACCCAGGGGCAGTCCTCTGTCCCAGTGGTTTGTTTGAGTCGGAATCAACTTAGTCTTCTTCTGTGGGACCTTGTTTAAAATGGGAATGGAACAAGGCTCTGTCCAGTTCTTCTGGTAACCGGGCAAAGGCGGCAATTAGCCACATATTCCATCTTATATTCTTGAAGCTCCTACTTCTGTTTGCTCCAGGCTAATGGAGACCAATTTTAAGACCACCCCCATCCCCGGCACTACATATGAAACCAAGAGATGGAAAGAGTAAACACATTGATAGACCGATTATCAGGATGTTCCATTAAACCATGACCCTGAATCTCTACACCAAGGATCCAAATCCCATGAGATCTTTGGTTGTGCACAGGTAACAGCTTTTTTTTTCTTTCTTCATTGTTGTAAAATAATCTGTCACTCAACATTTACCAATTCTTTTGACAGGCATACAGCTTATTGAAGCTTATTGACAGCAGTTACAGTAACTGACCTTCACTCAAAGGAACTCTGGTGGCGGGCAGGGTGGGTTAGAAGATGGGCTGCTAACCCCAGGCAGCAGTTTGAAGCTACCAGCTGCTACAGATGAGGTTAGTTTCAGAAGCCCAAAATGTTTCTATAGGGTCCTTTAGGGTCTTCATGAGTTAGAATTGAAGTGTTGTCTTTGACCCTGTGTGAATTTCCCACCACCAGTCATCCTTCCTCCCTGCCCCCAGCAAGTCTTCGTCCCTTTGCTGGTCCTCTTGTGGGATACACGTCTGCTCTAGTCATTATTTTCACTCAACAAATACTCCAGGGAGTGGCAAGTTATGGCTGGGCTGCTAACCCAGTCACTAGCCACTAGGCTGTCTGCTCCCTTAAAAGAGCTACTCTCAGAAGATAGGGTAGAAGCAATTTGGTCACTGACTTGTAAGTGACTTGCATTTTGGTTTAATGTTTTCAAGACCCATCCACACGATAACACATAACAAGACTTTATTCCACTGTAAACTGGTACATTTTGTTGATCCATCCAGATGGATACTTGTTTCCATCTTTGGACTATTGTGAATAAAAACTCAAAAAATTTACTGTCGTTGAGTCAACACGGACTCATAAAGACCCCCTCTGGGATTTCAAGACTGTCTACTGGAGTAGAAAGCTTAGTCTTTCTACCACCTGCCAACTATGAGGATCACAGCCCAAAGCGTAACCACTGTACCACCAGGGCTCCATAAAACCTGGTATACAAGTCTCTGAGCTTTGCTTTCAAATTTCCTGGGGGTAATAGAAGGGGTTCCAGTTCACACATACCCAGGTTTATTCCAAACAAAACATGCCTTTGTATTCAGTGGATGGCTGCAAACAAATTCTCTCTGTAAAGCACTTTAAGTCTACTAAAAAAAAAAACCAAAAAACATTTTGTGCCACATAAAACTATCAAGTTTTGAACAAAACTCAAGTGGACACCTTCCCAAATCCAGCATCTAGGAAAGGCAGGTGACCTCAAGAATAAATTTTGAGTTCAGAAGGTGCAACAACTATTTGTGGACACTGTAAAAAGGTAATCTTGGTAAATTTTCTGAAAAGGCATAGAATTGTCACAAGGACTTCCTAAGCAATAAATGTTAAGAAATTTGGGGGGGGGGGGGTTTACATCACAATGTACCTGCTCCTATTTTGAGGATCGCAAGAGAATTTCCTTGGGAAATACTGTCTACTATAAAGCTAAATTTGTACCTTCAGGCTTTTTTGTTCTCAAAACTCAAGAAAACAAAGAACATCAGGAGGAAGGGGGAAAATGAGGAGCTGATACCAAGGGCTCAAGTAGATAGCAAATGTTTTGGGAATGATGGCAACAAATACACAAATGTGCTTGACACAATGGATGTATGTATGGATTATGATGAGTTGTACGAGCCCCCAATAAAATGATTTAAAAAAAAGAAAATAGAAAAGAACACAATTTGGGTCCCTCAAGTATGTCAAAGCAGGCATTTTGACATGACAGAAACTGAACAGCCCAGGATTCTCTAGGGAAGACGTCAGATGGAAACACTGCCTTCAGAAGCATATGCATTTAGAGCAGTGGTTCTCAACCATCCTAATGCAGCGACCCTTTAATACAATTCCTCGATCCTTTAATACAATTGCTCGTGTTGTGGTGACCCCCAACCATAACATTATTTTCCTTGCTACTTCGTAACTGTAGTTTTGCTACTGGTATGAATCAGGCGACCCCTGTGAAAGGGTTGTTCAACCCCCAAAAGGGTCGAGACCCACAAGTTGAGAACCACTGCCTTACAGGATGTGAAGAACTAATGCCTTCAAATTTCAATATTTTAAACAAATGTTTCTATGACTTTGTCAAAATACTTTTTGACTTAGTCTCAAATACTTAGAACTGGAATTGGTTTCACATGCTAATTCTTAGTTTGAGTAACTGCTACAGTATTTCACACACTTTTTCTACAACTGCTGCACCAGTTGGCTTTTCCACCAATAAAAAAAAAAAAAAAAAGCCATCTAGTCAATTCCAACTCACAGCAACCCTGTAAGGGTTGCCAAGATAGTCAATTATCACAGGAGCCCACAAGCCCCATCCTGCTCCCAACAAGTAGCTGTTGAGTTTGAATGGCCAACCTCAAAATTAGCACCCAAACTTTGTACCACCAAGGTTCCTTTGCAATGGACAAGGATGTTAATGTCCCCATAATTTTGACTATCTTGGTGGGAGTGAAATGGCTCATTGTGGCCTTGATTTGCATTTTTCTGATGACTGATGGCACAATGTGTCTTTTTTGCATAGTGCATCTTTTCATATTTGGGGGTCATCTAAAAATCTTCTTTGGTGAAATATCTATTTAAGTCCTTTGCTCTTTTTAAGAGTGAATTTTTTGGTTGTTGCAAAGTTGCCTAACTTCCTACGTGGGTTTCTTTCCCCCTTCTCATCATTTAGTGAGCATTTCAGTAATAAAGTGAGATGTGATTGTGTTTCTTTTTCATTTTCTATTAATATGATATGATACTCGTTGATTCTTATATCAAACCACCCTTGCATTCTTGGGATAAACCCCACTATGTCATAATAGAAAATTATTTCAGTATGCTGTTAGTTTCGGTATGCTAAGTGTTTTGTGCTCGTATAGGATTTCTGCATCTAGTTGATAAAAATGTTAATTTGTCATTTTGTTTGCTTGTAACTTAGGCTTCATGGTCATTTCAGCCTTGCCGAAGGAGTTAGTGTTCTCTAGTAGAAATGTGATGGGAATTAAAGAAAAAGAGGTCTTTACCATCTTGTCTTTCAGTTATTTTAAATTTCATTATTAAAGACAGAACCCTGATTCTCAGTTTTCTCAATTGTAAAGAGGAACTATTGCCTTCTTCAAAGAACTATTCATAGGACTCAAGATGATAATGTATCTGAAGATATCTGCTATCATTGTTTCACCATGTTGATGAGCTTTTAGTTTCTAGATAGAGATGATAGTTATAGAAGTTACTTAGGTAATATTTTATGAAGAGTTAATACTGTGAGTAGTAGTGATGGTTAACAGTTCTCTCCCCAACCCCCCACAGAGAAAACACAATACACTCCATGCTCTATCAAATACCTATAATTATATTCTGCAAAGGATTACATAATCCAATAAATTCACTAATGATGCAAAATTTTCATCCTTCCATACTGACAGGTACATTCTCTAAGCACAAAGTTTGTACTCACAAATATATTTTTGCTTAAAGACAAAACTCCAATTAATAACCACAATGGGAATTTAGTTGTTTTAGTATAAGCACTATTCTAATCTAATATGTTGCCAATAAAAGCTAAGCAGTTATATCACAAAACCAGGATTATATTCAGTGGACATGCATTAATAATCTATACAACTTAACATTACACCAAAAAAGAACCCAATATAAAATTCCCCATACTTTTTGGTGATTATGAAATTTCATGGCACAGATTACCAAAAAAAAAAACTGTAAAGGCAGATTTTAAATATTTTCAATAAAATGGTAAAAAATTGAATAAAGTCTTAAGTTTTCATACAGGGCTGGTGATTTAAAATAGCAAGTTGGCCCCCAATTTGTCAAAATTGACAGATAAGTATTTACAACAACTAGACAGGCTTTAGTTACAATGGTACCAAGTGAGTACTCCCTCCTAGCAAAACCCTTGAGGTTTCATTTCTCAATGCAAACATGTCTTTGTAAATACTGTGATAATATAAACTTGGAAACACACACAGAACCAGGACAAAGATGAAAAATAATACACAAGTCAAATTTTATTTCTGACCTGTCAGCATAAAGCCTTCTGGCTCCCAAACATCTAAACACTGTACTCCAATATAAAACTAAGTTAACAGGAGTAGAATGACTTTACTAGGGGAATTTTCCTACAAAATTACTTTTCACTACACACCAAGGTAGGGCTCCAGCTCTATTAACCTTAGGGCTTTCTACCCACTGATGAGAATTTACTTATCAACCACAGGAATGGCTGGCAATACAATTCTCCACAAGGGGTCAAAACAATAATGAACTGTTTTGAAGCGCTGGTTAATCTCTTTCTCTAGAGTGTTTAATTAGCAGAGCACCAAATTTATAAACTGTTACAGTAACCCAAAATGTTAAATACATTTTTTAAACAGAAGCAAACTTTCCCCCACGATTGTTCTATGTGCCATGGTTAGTCTTTAAACCTATGTGGTCACCAATAAGAAATGAGTAAGGGAAGCTTTGAACATATCTTGTACTTTTCATCAGGATAAAGTGCAAAATATCTCCACATTTCTTTCAAGAGGCAACAATATCACATCAGAAAGAAATTCAAGTGACAATAGAACTAGTATTGGGGGGAAGATCTCTTTAAATATACACTTGAAAACTATCAATTATCCTTCATTGAAATCTGTGTATGAATCAAGTTCTCATAGAACTTAACATTTTAAACGTGTAAATCTTCTTCCCCAGGATCACAAACTCCAAAGTTACTACAGGGCCAAAAAAAAAATGGGAAAAAAAAACATTGCATGACAATGGACACTAAGTTCATAAAGAACTTCTTAAAATGAGATATTATGGAAGAAAATACCATGAAAATAATAATCCTATGAGAATTGTTTTTAAGCAGAGTAAATTTGAGTCTTGGTCTTCATGAAGATCCTATAGTTTATATAGAAAACTATAAATATAGAAGACTCTGAGGAGGAAATAAGTCAGAATATGTATTAAATCAGAATACATTCTGTAGGCCTAAAAAACTTTGGGTCAGAAGGAGAAGGATGGCCAGAGTTAATTTTCACTTCAGAATACAGAAACTGAAAAATTCCTGGGTCTAAAGAGTGCTCCAAAATGTAACCACACTTTGGGGGAAAACAAAAAACAAGATTTTTAAAAAGAAAAAGTACTGTATACTTGCAATCCCTTCCAAAAGGGAACTCTTAAATTAAGGGGGAAAGATTCTCAGAGTAAACCAAGTGTGGCTCAGGAAAAACAAAAACTGCACAGCATATCCAAGATTCTGTCCATAAAACTAATGACGGTACATCTTTAATATTAAAGAAGTAGGCTATAAAAAGGTTCGTTTCAGAATTGTCTTTTAGTAAAGCTCATTTGTGCTCTTTTGTGGGTGCATAATAAAGTTCCATGGGTTTGTTCACTTTCCAGTATTTCTCACTGACCAATTCCAAAGAAAATGAGCCATTTAATACCTACAACAAAAAGAAACAAAGAAAATTATGAAAACGGTACAAAGCACAATAATGAGGTGGAAGCAAAATAAAACTCAATAGAATCTTTTTATAAAAAAATAGCTTAGAATAAACCACTTGTGATTTACATGATTCCTGGAAGAACAGAGGATCGTAGCATTGACTATACCCTGCTGCAAGGCCCCCCTCTCTCTAGGAAGCCCTCAGGTCTGGGTAGTCCTGGCCCCACCCACCACTTCCCAGAGTCCCAGATGGTCAGCTCTCTGATTTCACTTACAGTGAACTGGCCGTTGGCTGTTGCTATGTAAATGGTGTACTGCTTCTCACTGGCTGTTTCGAGGTTCATCTGGTTTGATTCTCCTTTGCTTCGAAGTTCTTCTAAAGCTAGCCTCACTGCTAGATACTTGGATAAATGATCAACAGTAGCATTACCTGAAGTCTTTATATATCTACAAAAGGATAGAATTAGAAAATTTAATTTCAAGACTAGTACTGATCAAATGTACACATTTGTCTGACTAAAGTCCTTTAAAACATTTCTTACTGAAAAACCCAAATGAAGAGAACCTATCTGATTGCCAGGAAGTCAAAGCTCTCCCTACTTCACCATCCATAAAATAGAAAGTTAAGATGACAAAAATCAAACAAAAAAATAGAGGGGGGAGGGGAAATAACATACCCTTCAGCCCTAATAACCAGAATTCTGCAGTGTCTGCAGCAGCAGGAACAATAATAAGCATTTGAGCAAATTTCTTATAGTCTAGGAATCAAATTATTGATTTTTAAATGATAACACAGAAATGCTAATCTCAGAACTTTAAAAAAACTATAGTACACATAAATGTTTATCTGCATTAAATGGCAGGCAGTACACTATACACAGCAATAAAATAACCATCTTTTGCCATTAAAGAGCCCTGGTGATGTAGCACATTACACATTGAGCTGTTATCTGAACGATCAGTGGTTCAAAACCACAAGTTACTTAAAAGGAGAAAATGAGGTTTTTTGTTCCCATATAGATTTAAAGTCTCAGAAACCTGAAAGGGCAGTTACATTCTGCCTTACGGGGTTCCGATGAGTAATAACTGATTTGGGCTTGGTTTGTTTGTTTGGAATGGGACTCTAATCTCATGTCCTCTTCAAACTGGGAGGGCCATTTCTCTCAGATGTGAAGCATAAGAGCATTCTCAGGTGGGAGGCATATTAGAGGAGAAGACAACACTTTTGTCAGTCAGAATACCCAAATAACCCTGGCCGTCAATGGATAACAAATAGTGCCTTTCATTCTTAATTCAGAAATTTCCTTTTAACTCCAAGTGTAACGTTCCAAAACTAATCACACTTACCTTGTCTGTGCACTGTCATCCTTTTCCATAAGCGTGGGATGGGGCCTGAATACTAACTCAATTTCACTAGCCCCATCCATGGCGGGGTCGATTGCTACTGTGGCATTGTTATTATCAAGCTCAAGCCCAGAATCATCAGATGTTTTGGTCCTTTTGTTACTAGGTCCTGCTTCCTGGTTGCTATGTGTAGATGCGTTGCTACAGTGTGAACTATCACCATTATCTTCTGCTCCACTACCATTTTCAATCTGTTGCTTCTTGCCTCGCTGTAGTCTATTTAAATAAAGAAAAAATAAAGTTTACTTTAGATCTTTTCACAATACCCATTTTAAAGTATTTTTCATTGAAGTCTGGAATTCAAAATCTTGATAGACAAATTTGCTCCATACTAGATACCCCATGTCTAAAAACACACACATGCATGCTGTTTAAATGATAGAAACAAATGTTTGCATTCTCTTAATTTTCTGTATTAAATAAAGGAAAGCCTACAGGAATTATTGCCATTTTTTTTTACAACTTTCATAATTTTGTTATGACGTCTCAAGACATGATTTTAAGAGTGGAACTTATTTATGCCTTCTCAGAAATTCTTCAGAAAACAATATTTGAAAGCAACAGCCTATATCCACCCATTCACCAAGTCTGCTAACACCATTTGAAATGATTCTAATGCAGAAATGAGATGGTCCCTAAAATACCAGCATGGACATGGAAGCAACTAATAAAGCAATTGCCAAGCTAGGCATTTCAAGTATCGAATCACATCTACTCATAGGTCAACCTTACAATTCGGTTAATAAGTAACTTAACAAAGAAACTGGGGTTTAAGGTTAGTAATTTGCTCACAATATAGCCCCAGCATGATATATATACCACAGGCCAATTTATCCCCAAGCACAATTGCCTCTCTGCCTATAAATTCAAGAAAAGAGGAGATATATACAATGAAAAGAAAGAATGGCATCTAAAATAAGTATTATTATATGTTTGCTGCCATAATAAGGAAATAATATCCCATGGCTTAGGAAAGATGCTCAAGAACTTTTGCTTTAAAAAAAAATAAAATTGTGCTTATGAAATCTACAGACCATTTCAAAACCAAGTCTAGTATGTCAAATGACAAAACTGTTATTCAAAAAGGCATGAACAGGGCAAAGTAGTAGAGCAAAAACAATCTCAACTGTGAAGCTAGAAGAACTATATCTCTGCAAGCCTCCAGCGTGTCTGGGTCTGGCGTGACCTTGTGCATTCCTACAGTGCTTGCAAGAACAGTTCTGAAACCGTTTGAGGACTTGCTCTGCACCATTTCCAGAGCGAGGTAATAGAAATTTCAGACAGAGAAAAAAAAAACTATATCTAAATACTTCCTAACATCTATAACTATCAAAAAAAAATGAGTTGTGGGTGAAAGGGAAAGTGGGGTTTAAAAAAGGTGGTTTTGTGGTTTCAAAATTTTAAATGGACTATTGTGCATGGAGGCATGTATTATACATGCATGTGTCTACCTACATTTCACTTTTTATCAAAATAGAGCCTGTACACACTGCACACCAACAGGTGCTCTCATTGACCCTTCTCGTACATCACATACCTGTTCAAGGCCTGTATCTTCAGTCCTTCCTCAATGCTGTGACTGAGCGCTTGCTGGTTATTGTGCTTGTTGATTCTGGCTAACACTCGCTCTTGATGAGCTTCATACTCATCACGACTTGGATATATTTTGCTGATGAGGGCATCAAAGTTTGGATCTGGCCTTAGTGATCTTTTGGAAACTAGCTTCTTCCGACAAGTAGGGCATTCTTTGTTGCTAAATAAAAGGCACAAAAATGTAAATGGTACCTGTATCTTTGGGCTGAAGAGAAAAATACACAGTTTCTGGACTGTGATCGTTATTCCAGTGCTTTCACCAAGTCCCAGAAACACAATAGACCAGCCAGAATGTCTGAACATGTGCTACTCAAGAAACACTCGACCTACCAGAACATGCCCACAGAAGAAAAGGTGGTCGCTTATGTGTTAACTATTTTAGAAATGAAAATCTCTTCTTTCCTCATTTAAAAGGTCCCACTTTTGCTATTCATGCCATACAGGATAAAGTACCCATTACCCTACAGTACGGTACCCTTGCTGTTGTTTAGCTCAAGTAATATTGATGTTACTTGCGGACTTAGAAACATCATGGTTTTATGCTTCATAATTTCATCACAATATTCACCGTATAAGAGGGCTTCAAGAAGTTCATGAAAAAAAATTTTAATATGTGTTCCCCAAAACTTTAGGAAGTTCATCCCCTCCCCTGTATAAATTTAACAACTTTAAGACTTTAAATGATTAAAACCTAAACTTCAGAAATATTCCAGTCCTTAATCACATACTTAAGTGAAGCTAAGTATTTATATTCAAATAAGAATGTATTTCTCATGCCCTATGTAGCCTTATCCTGGTACAAAGTACCTAGTACAACAGTCATGCCCACGTACCCACTTCTGAGGGCTGTGATGATGCAGTCCGCACAAAAGCGATGTAGACACTCCTTTGTAGTCATGGTGTTCTTCAACATGTCCAAACAAATCGGACACATTAGTTCGCTGTGGAGGCTTCGAGGTGAAACAACAATTTCCAAGCCATCTGTTATTGCCTCCTGTAAGACAGCCAATTTACAATTAAATTCCACTTTTAAACTTTAATTATAGGCAAATCTAAACAGACAAAAGTACTGAAAATGGAAAAAATGTACTTTCAAGTATGCTCATCACTCACCATTGTAAACTTAACAGCCAGTACTGGCTCCAATGGAGTCTCAATTTTAGTAGAGGGAAGTTCCAGTATGCTAGTGGCCTTTCCTGTTTCTACTGGCTCTCTATCAAACGTGTGCTTTCTCTACAGAATCAAAGACTGATGACCCCCACAGGAAAGACATAAGAACTATAAAAGTTCTCCACAAAGGAGTCAAGGAAAAATGTTTATAATACAAACTACCTCTAATATGGTATGCCTATTATCTCCCATTGCTATGTATGAAGCACTTTCCACTTTTATTTTACTTAGTTTCTCACACAAATCTTTGATTTAGGAATTATAATATTCATTCTACAGAAGAGGAAATCGTCACCCAGAAAGAATGACAACGACCCAGCTAATAATCAACTCATTAAAACTTATGTAGCAAAAGTATGACCCTAGATAAATTAAACCACCTACATTCTCCAGTTGGGTACCTATACACAAGTAGGTATGCAGCATTGTTTGGGGACAAGGGAAGTGGAACATAACTTCAAACTGCTCAGCATCTGGTTTTTCTAAATCACTTTTCCTTTCTCTAAACTATTTTATACCTTTTCTTCTATCTGCAGACCACACTCCACCTGATTTTTTAATAGACTATTCCTATTTTATTAATAAATCATAAATTCTATCAATTAATAAATCATTCTCCACTCTAACAAGTTTACGCCTCTTGTTTTATAAACTGTTCATCTTCCATCAAAGTCAAATTTCCCCATCTATGCTCATTCCTTCATACTTTTTCAAGGACATTCTTCTAAGAGTTGCTGCTGATGTTTGCCCTCAAACATCATCAATATTCTACCTTGCCACGAAATCAGCCTTGAAGACTGGCATCTCAATAGGGCTTCTGCAGTATCCTGTAAGGTGAACACTGCCCCTAGAGCTGTGGTACAGAGTATGCACTCAAATTATTTCTTGAACCAGTGGATGCTGTACACACTTAAAAGTGATGATGAATCTAATAACATGGATGAACCTGGAGGATATTATGCTGAGTGAAATTAGTCAATCACAAAAGGACAAATACCATGCAACTCCTATTACAGAGTCAAGAAAAGACTTTCACCCGAAAAGAAACATACTTTGATGGCTACTAGAGGTAGTAAGGGAAGGAAACTCACAGGCTAGAGGGTAGATGGGTATTACTGGGGTGAAGGAGAAGACAATATTCAACAAGCTGGGAGTGTGCTAAAAAGGATGGAGATAGAGGCAATACACTGGAAGGTTAAAGGCAATAGAGGAAAGTACTGTCACATACACTTAAATACACAATCCTGTAAGAGAAGTTCATTAAGAGCTGAACTTAAAGACACAGAATGAACAGGTGTGGTAGGACGAGTGGGAGTATATCCTGGAATATATACAGAGTTTACAGAGGATGATATTTGTATATTTTAATCTTTGCTGCAAATATATCTATGACTGTGGGAGAACATACAAAGGGTAAAGTTTTGAATACTTCTTAGCTATAGCCTAACTCCATGAGGAATACGCCAGTAGGCAAGGAGAAGCAAGACGAGCATTTCAAGGAACACCAAGCTCTATTCCCATTAACGCAGTTCATAAAAAGGCAATGTTCTACATCCTACGTTGGTAAGTCACAACTGGGGTCTTAACGCTCATGAGCAGTAATCTAAGGTACAACCTCAGAGATGACAAGTCTCTTCCTTTTGAAAGGAAAAATGAGCAACGAGAATTGAGAGACATAGGAGACAATGGGTCCAATTGAAAGACACGTGACAATTGGTCCAAGAGACAAATAAGACATAAAACATCAATGGGTAACGGGGGCACAGGGCGCTAACCTACCCAAGGGGAGGGTATTGTTTATATCTCCACAGGAAAAGAGGGACCAAACTTCAACCCAGTGCTCCAAGGTGTGAAGACAACATGCC